AAGGCACTATATGGATTAAAACAATCTCCACAGGCATGGTTTGGAAGGTTCACTGAAGCAATGAAAAGATATGGCTATCGGCAGAGAGTAAATTCTGGATCACACCTTGATTTTTAAAGAAAAGAGGAAAATCTAATCACATGCCTGATCATCTATGTGGATGATATGATCATCACAGGTAGTACAAGGAAGAAATAACAAAGGTTCGAGATAATCTGTCTGCTGGAATTTGAAATGAAAGATTTGGGAGGTCTTTAAATATTTCCTTTGAATGGAAGTCCTAAGATCAAAAGATTGGGATTTTCATTTCTCAAAGGAAATATGTCTTAGATCTTCTTGCCTGAACAAAGATGATGACTGCAAACCAATTTTTTTTTTGGGACACTTCCTATTACAAAGTTAATCAGTGGCCTTTGGCCTTGTGTTGAAGGAAGGAGGAGAGCCTGCCGACAAAGAACTGTATCAGCGGCTAGTTGGGAAATTAATTTACTTATCTCATACTAGACCAGATATAGCATATGCAGTCGGGGTGGTTAGCCAGTTTATGCAATCTCCACAGAAGGAGCACATGGAAGCTGTGATAAGGATTGTGAGGTATCTCAAGGGAACTCCTGGACATGGAATCTTGTTCAGAGACAATGAACACTTGGAAATAGAAGCTTACACTGATGCTGATTGGGCAGGAAATCCAAATGATAGAAAATCCACTTCTGGTTACTTCACTCTGGTTGGGGTGGAAATCTGGTAACTTGGCGTAGCAAAGGAAATCTGGTAACTTGGCGTAGCAAGAAACAAAAGGTGGTTGCTCTTTCAAGTGCTGAAGCTGAGTTCAGAGGAATTGCCAGAGGAGTAAAAGAGGTATTATGGCTAAAAAAAATTCTTGATGAATTGGGTTTTCCACCTCAAGGCCCAGCCAAACTAAAGTGTGATAACAAGGCAGCCATCAGCATTTCTGGAAATCCTATCCAACATGACAGGACAAAGCATGTAGAAGTTGATAGACACTTCATCAAGGAGAAACTTGAAAGAGGTATCATCGAGCTTCCATTTGTGAGGTCTGAACACCAGTTAGCCGACATTTTAACGAAGGGAGTTACAACTCAATCTTTTCATGAAGTATTGGGCAAGTTGAACATTGGAAATCCCGCTGATCAACTTGAGGGGGAGTGATACAATATGGAAAGTCAAATACCAATAATTTAGGAGAAAATTAAGCCAATAAGAGCAGAATATTTTTGACTTTCCTAAAACTAATTACATAGCCTAAAATCAATAGAGCAGAATATTTTTGACTTTCCTAAACTAATACATGTATACAGTATAAATTTAACATTACAGAAGAATGAATGATAAGAAATTCTATTCCTCTAAATTATCTTTCTTTCTATCTTCTATCACTAAGACATGTAATGTGTACTCGCGTTACCTCAAAATTGCATTGTACAGGATTTGCAGAGTAATAAAGTAATAGCCACTAGGAAGGTGTAACATGAGCTTTCACTGGTAGTAGCTGAATTATAAAAGTAATCATGTTATCGTATCTAACATTTAATTTGTCACATAGTAAATATCTATTAACATGCTAATTGGTTGACATGGAGGTTTTCAATATACATTTTAATCTTTTTCTTCTGCCACATGAGCTCCCATCTTATCTGTTCCTCCTTTTTTCTTTCTTCTACCATCATCTTAAAATGAATTGATTATTTGAATAGGATAGGACCCACTTGATAACATTTCCTTTCTAAGTCAATTTTTTAACTTAAGATTTGGATCCACTCGATAATATTTCCTTTTTAAATAATTTTTTTTTATTTAAGATTTGGACCTACTTAAATCGTAAAAAAAAGTACTTGAATTAAAGAAATTTTCTAATCACAATAAAAGGGGTTAATTATATTATAGGTGTCCATATTTTTTAAAAAATTTTCTATTTTAATGTCTGAATGAAAAATATTTACAATTAAGTGTGTAGACTAAAAAAAAAATTACAATTAAGTGGCTCCTACACACGTGGCACGCCAGATTACTAATATAGCAAATAGAGATTCCACAAATTGTCAACTCAGCATGCCACGTGAACTACCAGCTCAACTCAAATTGCCACATTAGCAAAGCACATGATTGGCATGTGATTTTTAATATCGAAATTACAAAAATGGACATATTCTCATGGTAAACAAATTACATGGCAAAAGTAATGCCTAATGTTGAAAGTTGAGTACCATCATTCAATGCCGACTTTCAACGGTTACACCTATGGTTTAGCCGGTTCTGCCTTTGGTGGCTTCCGTGATGCCATCTACAGGTACCCTCTTTAGTTCTTCCCACCGAAATTTATAAATTTATTTATTTTTTTAATTCAAGCTTTTTAATCATTTTCAAATCCCATTTCTCAGCATCGGCTTTAGAAATCAAATCACCACCACCGCTGCTGCCTAAAATGCCATCTTTATTGGCGATTTCCAGTAACACTTGCCCAGTAGTACCTCCATATGATTTTGTAATTTTCACTTCTATGGCTATTAGACATATGCATCAACATTTTAGAGTACTGTTCTGAAAATGAAATTTGCTTAGAAAGGAAGAAGAAAAGGCAGGTGAATCTAATCCAACAAAATCAAAGGATTAGAAATCCAAACACTATCAGTTCAATTTAACTCTCCTGTAAATGCCTAAAACCTCACAAAAAATTGTCTGATATTTTAAAATTCAACTCAAGAACTTTCTCTCTTTTTTCTATGATTTTTTATTTAATTTTCCATGTGTGAGAGGAATCGAGATGGAAAGAGAAAGGTTGGATTCTTGATAATTCAGAGAAGCGTCAGAGGAGCAAAGGACGGGAAAGAGAAGGTTGAGACTAAGAGAAAAATAGGTGGGTGGAGATGAATGAGAGCCACTGAATAGATTACTCCTATTTGAAATTTTTTTTTTTTTTTTTTTAAATTTTGGAACTCTAATTTTTCAAAGCTCTCAATCTGCAATACAAGGGCATTCATGTTCATTGAGAGGAGATGAACCGACGTGGCAGTCGACTTGTCATCCTACACAGCTTATTTTTAATTATTGAGCGGGTTTCACACATCCTAATTATATTTTCAGCAAACTACAAAAGCTGAAGATACCTGATTGAAAATATTTTAGGAATTCAGACTCTTGATTGTAAACGTTTTTCGTTTAGACAGCGAAAGATTAATTATTTAGAGAGTTCAGATACTAAATTTATAATTAAGCCCAACGAAAAAAATACTCTGACATAAATATATTGCAATTTTAAATAAATATAGAAATAAAAAATCGTATCCTCTCAAGATTTTTTTTTATTTTTCTTAATGTCAAATTCTTTTCTTTAAAAGGAACTTTTAATTTAATTTTTATTAAAAAAACCTTTCCATCCCAAAATAGCAAGAAAGCAAATCCTCTTTTTAGCCATTGGCTAGCATCAATCCTCAAAGAAAGATTTCTTTCAATTTCCAAACAATCAAACAAATCCCTCCTCTCTATTCAAAGGAGACCCACTAGCATGTTAAACTAAAATCATATAATCCAGGGAAAAGAAGTACCAAAAAAAAAAAAAAAATTAGGAAAAGAAGTACCAAATAAAAAAAAAAAACCAAAAAAAAAAAAAAAATGTCAAGATCTTAAAAATGAAGATATGGTCTCTTTACAAAGTAAGAGAAAGTGAGGGAAAGAAATTGTTCTATTGTTGCCACAGCTTATTAAGGGATAATTATAAATTTAGTGTTTAAACTTTTCGAAATTTTCTATTTTGGTGTCTTAATGGAAAAGTTTTGCATCATCTATATATTGATATGAAAATATGAAAAAACATAATTTAAAGGCTGAATACATAAATTTATCACTGAACTTGCAATTTTAATCTCGTAGCATCCTAAGTTTTGAAAATGACTTATCACACACTTGAACTTGTAAATTTTGATAATATTATAAGTCTTTCACCAATAATATCAATAATTTTTAGGGTTTTTAGCTTTTATATGTAAAATATCAACTTGATATATAATTAGCATGATTTTTAAAATAATAATTTTCATAAATTTTAATCTTTTAATGAGCACTTAATTGATTTAGTTTTACAAGGTAAAATGTTCATAAAATAATTTTGAAAAATAAAATATTCAGTGGACATAATTTTTTTAAATTAAAATATTTAATTGATCAAAATAAAAATTAAGAGTGTCATATAATTAAAATATAAAAAAAAATTCGAAAATGAATTTATATATGATACGGAAGATTCTTCTGCAAACATTTTTCGTCCTTTCTTCTTTCCTTATCTTTTTTTTTTTTTTTTTTTTTTTTTTTTTTTAAATGTTGAATTAATCTCTCCACGTGAATGTAGACATGAATGTAGTCATGTTAAAAATTCTGTTTCGAAGGTCCTCTTGCTTCCCTATCATCCCACGTCCATTTTTGACCGTGTTAATGTATAAATTTGATATTGAATTTTGGTTTTTCTTTTTTATTTTATTTTCTAAGCTTTTCACGAGATTCAATTATGACTTTCACGTTCATATTTTAATAATAACTGTATTCATAAAAATGAAATAATGTTGCGAAGTTTAATTATATCGTTGCACTTCAATATTTCATTTTGATAAATAACATAGTTATTATTGAAGTATAAATATACAGAATTATGATAGGTCTTTGCCAAATTTATACACTCAGATGATTAGACTATATTTTGCTATTTTCTCTGAGCAGAATGAGCGGTCATATAAGTAAATAAATAAATGCAATCAAAATCCCATCCACCCAGAGGAAACAGACACAGAAAATAAATTAGAATAATTGTTCACTCCACAACCTGGTACGTTGGTCCAGATAAAGAATCTCTTTGGTTGAGCAAACGTGTGCTATTTTCCAATGCCATATCCACTTATATATACTCCCTTCAAATCATCTTGAATCGCTTCCCCTTTTTCTGCTACTCATTTCTGTTTCTTGTTTCATTTTTCATTCTACAAGATAAAACCATTCCCCTGCTTCTGCTAGCACTGCCTGCAGATTGTTTCATTTTTCAATTGTGAGAATGAGAGGACTAAATTCTGAAGAATCTACAAATGATTTATCTGGAAAAATCTGAAACGAATCCTTACTGAACCATAGAAAACAAGAAGAATCACTCTCACCATTGCCTAATCCTCCTCCTCCTCAGAAGAAGACGAAGCTGGAGAATCCCACAAAACCAAAGACTTATAAAAAAGAGGAAATTAGAGAATCCCACGAGAAAATTTGAAGGTATGCATTCTTGTGGGTTGAAAGAAAGAACTCAAAATAGTCTTTTTTTTGTGCTTGTTTTGATTTTTAACAGAAGGGTTCAATTCTGCAGCAGAGAGAGTCCTTGGAGGCAGTTCTGGTAAAAACCAACAGTTGATGACTTGATCTCAACGAGGCAAGGCAACCATTGACAAAACATGAAAAGGGTAATGTGCTTCATAAAGCAAGAACTACTTTCGAATCTAAAAATCCATTTTTCATGGTTAAAACGCATCCATCATATGTTCATCCAGAGCATTTTATTATAACTATTAAGTACCTTTAAGTTAAGAAAGTCATTCAAAGTACACATATGTTGGAATGATTTTGTTGATTGAGCACACGCTTGCAAATATTAGCACGTGTGGATGAATCATCAGTAGTCAACCATTTTCTATTAAAGATTGCTAGCAACTTATAGTTATAAATAGAGGTGAATAGAAAGTCCATCCAATAATTAGCATGAACAATTTGGTTAATTTGTTAATCAACTAGCATTTTCCAACATACATGATTGCATTTTTGTTTAGGAAAAAGTATCTTTTAGTTTCTAAAATTTGATCTTATTTACTAATTTATTCCTCCATTTTTTAGAACTAATTTAATATCCCGAAAATTTCAATCAGTTAAATGAAGACGTCCTTCCGTTATTTTTATATATCTTTACCATTAAATCGATATGAAAAGACAAAAATATCATTTTTTCTTTAACGTCAAACTAAGACGTTTTCATTTGATGGATTACAACCTTACTAGTTCTCAAAAATAAAAACTGGAAAGACGATGTAATGAATTAGGTCAAACCTTAAAAATTAAAAAGAAAATTCTTTTTTGTTTATTATTATTGTCAAATCTTTAATTTAATTCTTAAAATATGCAGGGATGATTAGCAATTCTCATGGATTGAAATTATTAATTCCAAAATAATAATTAATTAGCATTTTCTTCAAGTTTCCAATACTAAATTTATAACCTAAAAATTAATTATCAGAACCAGTCACCAAACCTCTTCTTCCTCTCTCTTGCGCATTCCAGCCCCAGCCACCGCAGCAGCTGATAGCTCCACGCCGTTTACTCAAAAAATATTGGTGACATTATTTCTCTCGCTCTTCAATTTCTCGTTGTCTTTCTCATTTCAAAATCTACAATTTATTTCTATCTTAGTTTCTTCGACTGTGCAGACACTCGTTCTCGGCTATGGCTATCAATTTCACAGCCAGTTCACTCCACACCTCCATGTAATTCCATTATTTCATCTAAAGACACTGTTTAATTAGTTATTCAAAAAATCATTCATAATTCTTATTTGATTTGAATGAGTTCAACAACTTATTCACATATTATCTTTTTTTTATGCTTAAAAGTCTAATAAATCGAAATAATATTATAGCCTACACAGTAATTGTAACCCATATTTAAACAATCTTCATCAAATTAATGATAGTTGACTTCTCACTCTCCGTATCTTATACAAGACGTAAAAAGACCAGCCATATCAGCATATTATGTCTCGACAATTTAAATTCCTTTTTTATTTTTTTAAACAAGGGGCAAACAAAGAAAAAGATCATAATTAACGAGAACATAGTATGTTCCATTTTTTATCAGTCGCATGACTTATTACTAAAATGCAGCACTACAAATTTATTCCAATATCCAGGCACCAAGATTTCATAGAGGAGTTCTACCAATTCATCATAACTTCATCCTTGCTCAGAAGGTTGAGAAACAAACTAAAACCTAAGTTCATAACTGAGACAAGGAGTTCCCCACATCGATCACAAACCGGTACCTGACATCAGACTTTCCAAGCCTTTCCATAGCTGTGTTGATTTCATCAATTCTGATCACCTCAACATCTGCAGTTATATTGTGCTTCGCACAAAAGTCGAGCATCTCCTGAGTCTCTTTTATCCCTCCTATGTCACTTCCTCCAACAAGCTTCCTCCCTGAAGTTATAGAATGGTTACATTCGCACAAAAATTCATTTCAAGTTGCTTTGTATTTATGTTTTTCGTATGAATGAAAATATTCATTTTACTTGCATAAACTCAAATTTGTAGATTTCAACACAACGCTCCTTCTGAAACAGAATCATTTTGTATGACTTTTGAGTAACATATTAAAGTTATTTTCTATTTAAATCTTAAAGCATAAAACTTTATTCAAAAACACACCAACTCTTGCACCAGTACTATATCATGAGCGTATTACTGAGTTGCAGTCAAGTTCGTCAAAAGACTTGTAGCATGAGTTTTCTCAATCCGTTACTTCCTAAGTAGAGAAAAATAATGCAGCTTACCTAAAACTAGAGGAAAGATAGGCAGCTCCAGAGGCTTATCAGGCAAGCCCAGAGTGATCAGTTTTCCATTTGGCTTGAGCAGGCTAAGAAGTGGTGCTAGTGCATGAACTGCAGACACTGTGTCAATGATGAAATCCATACTACCAATAGCTGCCTGCAAAATAGCAAAAGAAATCAATAGTGCCTGGTAAACCATAATGCAATACAGTTGATTTCTCAGTTGAAATTAAGTAAACATTTTCGGTTTCTAAGCAAGAATTTATCACAAAAACTTGAGATGAAATTATTTACTAAATGCATACCCGCAATAATATCCACTTGCAAGAAAGAAAAAAAAAATCATAAATAGAATATAGTACCACACTTTAAGATATCGTCTCAATAGAGATATCGATATTTAACTAGCCACAGCCATATCCTACACTTATAGTTATCCATTCTTTAAGGATACAATTTAACAGATGGCTTGGTTAGGCCTAATTTAAGTTTATAAGCTACACACCTACATATAATCCCCAACATGAGCAAATTGGACCATCAGATCCAATTAAGACCAGTTACATATGAGGTCATTTGATATATAAACAATCCAAGTCAACTGAATGATGAACCATACATGTTTCGAGATTAAAACTTACTTTCAAAGTTTTTTCTAATTCACAAGCTAGGATATCATACCTTCATTTTTCCTGGGTCACTGCTAACAAGGAATGCATCAGCACCAAGCCTATTAAGTGCTTCACTTTCCTTCCTTGGTGAGGAACTAATAACAGTAACTCGCAGACCAAACGCCTTACCAATCCTCACTGCAACATGGCCAAGCCCACCAAGCCCTACTATTCCCAAATGCTTGCCTGGTTCAGTCATTCCATAATATTTCATTGGACTGTAGACTGTGATCCCAGCACATAATAATGGCGCACCAGCATCAGAAGGTAAGTTGTCAGGAAAGTGGAGCACAAAGTGTTGGTTAACAACAATCATATCAGAATAACCACCATAAGTTCTTGTCCCATCATGGTCAATCGAATTGTAAGTAAATATCATTTTAGGGCAGTAATTTTCCAAGTCCTGGTTGCAGTACTCGCATGATTTGCAGGAGCCCACCATAACCCCAACACCAACCCGGTCACCCACTTTAAATTTCTTCACGTTATTTCCAATTTTTGTTACAGTACCAACAATTTCATGCCTGCAGAAAAGAAGCTATATCTATTATCTAGCACATTTCACTAGCCACCACATGCATGAAAGTTCAAAGTTCTATATGACTACTATTTCATTAAAAAAATGGTAGTGAAGTTTGATTAGTATATCAGTGGGATCCTTGGCATTGCTGGTGCCAATAGAAAATTTTGAATCAAATTTTAAGAAGAGTTCTAATAGCCAATGAATAAAAAAGGATCCTTGCAATATTGTATTAAGGCTGATTTTAGAAAAAGTTCCAAATATGAACTTATTCCAAAATCAGTACCTATATCCATTAGACCAGCAAAATTATTTATAGTTTTGTTCTGATACATGCATTAGCAACATACCACTAGCAATAGTTATACCGAATAGGCTCTGCAACTATTATAATAAAAACCCAAAAATTTTAGAGAAATCATTCGTTGGGTACTACAGGATGATGGCAATACCGGTACATTACACATCTAACAAGGAAATAGTCAACCAATCAGCAATAGCTTGGCGGCATCTGCATATATAATGAAGTGAGATGCATATATAATGTGTAGAATTTCAGCAGTTATCCATTTGCAATGCTTAAAATAACCTAGAGCAAGTTTTGGAAAGTAAAAACAGATAAAAAAAGCAAACATGAAGAAAATACATATTGCCCCTTTCAATTGTCAATGCGGTAAAAATCAACCACCAAAATATTAAGAACTTCAGAAAAGAAACTACAAGTTTACATATAAATTTGAGATAACAAACATACCCTGGAACCACAGGGTAACGGACAAAACCCCATTCATTCCTGCAAGCATGCAAGTCAGAATGGCACACCCCACAGTAAAGGATTTTTACTGTGACATCTTCAACGCCATTCTCCCTGCCAAATTACAAGCAAACCTTAAAATAAAGATAGCAACCACAATATTCTCCAAAAAAAGAAAAAGTAATTATATATAGAGTATCTCTATGTTGTGCAATAATCACAAAATTCAACAGTGTGATGTCCAAGTGAGTAACCCATCTCAATTTTTATTTTAGTTCCTTTGTTATTATTATTATTATTTTCTATCAGCATAATTTGTCATTTTCACATCTACATGTATACTAATTGCTTATTGAGCTTTGACCTTTCATACATTCAATAGAGGCAACAAAAAAAAATTAGTAAAGCATATCAAAGTATAGTCTAGTAATAAGTATATATAAGACTTGAAAATTGAACCACGTTTAAATTCCCTCCTCCAATACTCCAAAAAAACAAAAAAAGATCATTAAACTAAATGTTCTATAAAATATTTATTATGGAACATATATATTTTAAATCCCCTCCAGATACTCCAAAAAAACAAAAAAAGATCATTAAAACTTAAATGTTCGTTTATGAAAATAATTTATTATGCGAAACATTATATATATATCATATATGTATTAGATATATTATATATATATATAAAACAAGTTTGATTCCATACAATGTCCATGTTAGCCATTCCTATTGAACTATATATAACAAGTTGGATCCATACAATGTCCATGTTAGCCATTCCTATTGAACCGTCATGGAGTTTTAAACTTTAAACCCATCAGCCCCATTTAATAAACTACAGAGATATAAGTCCAATCGTTTGGATTAGATTAGGTATCCATAGATTATCATCCCAAAATACTCATCCCTTTGGATTAATCTGCTGCCCCTTTGGATTAAATCTGGACTCAAATATTCAAAATAGTGGCATCCAAAACCCCAACCACATAATTTATGAGAAGCAAACAAGGATAAGAAATTGGGGATTAATGGCCCCACAAACATAAATAAGTCAATAATTATTCCACCAACTCCAGAAGCTTAGCTAGGAACCAGTTCCAATAACATCCCATCATGACATACACGTCCTCTCCCTATATTTTTTACAGGAACTGTTCTGGCCTTCATGACATATATGAGATGCGATCGCAAGAGTTCCTTTTTCTTAATTCTTGAGTTCAAGCCCTGTATATATACCCCTTTAAAGATTAGGGAGGGAGTGTTTTGATTATTAACAAGTTTGGCTTTGATCCATGCGCACAAAAAAATATTTCTAGACTAACCATGTATTATATTATCAATTTTTACATGTGATTATATTATACCCATTAAAAAAATGGCAAAATGCCTTCCAGTAATTGGATCATCATGTTACAGACTAAGAAATCAAATAAAAGAGCACTCTGGTCTTTCTTTGCATACGTTAGAAATTAAAATAAGCTATACAATAGAAGTCAGCACCCAAAATTCGACAGAAATATGCGTAAATTATTCAAATATAAAAATGTCATTTGGATTCTGTTTAACCAGACACTGGGTCTCATCTCATCCCCATAAACATGCATCAAAGGTTAAACAAAGAAAAGAAAAACATAAAAAAAAAAATAAAAGAATAACCTTCGAGAGAAATGGAAAGGAGAAAGGATCCCAGACGTATCTTTGGCAGCCCAACCAAATGCCTTTTGCGGGTGTTCTTCTTCTGGTGATTTTGCCATTCTCTCTTTCTCTCTCCGTGCAGTGGTATGAACTGTTGTAATTTTTCAGCACAACAAGTATCAGTTATATAGATAAATACAGTGCAGCAGGGAAAACTCCAGAAATGCCCATGCTCTTCTCTAATTGATAGTGCTTTTATTACCGTCAGTCGGTGACCAGTTTGCTGATACTTTGTTTTATTTTTTATTTTTGTTTTCCTCTTTCCCTTTATATTATTTTCCTTGTTATGAAAATGAAATTCTAATTTCTAACCGTTAAATTAAAACTTTTATCAATTTTTTATATTTTACTTCCAAATTTTAAAATTTTATTTTTATTAAAAATCATTTTTCAATAGTTATGCAATTGATTTGTAAATTTTCAAAACTTGTAATATTTAAGTTTAATTTAATACATATTGTCTGTAAATTATAATTATAATATTAAAAATTTGAACTAATAATTATAAATATATATGGCGATTATTATTATGAAAAAAATAATTATTTCATATAAAAAATATCAAAATTTATTTTTATAAGAATTAATTTAAACCAATAATTCTATTAAAAAATACTCTCGATCACTAAATTTAGTATTTTATAGATTACAAGGTTGAGTAAGCCCAACTATTCAGAGTTATTACATATGTGACATACATCACCTCATAGATATAACGCGCGCAGGCTTAGCTCCTGAAACTATAAAATATGAAAAAAAAATACAAACCAATTCACATAAATGAAAAAACTCATGCACAAAGATGTCATTTATTTTCTATGTATAAAGGGAAATTATATATGATGAATAAAAAAACCATCAATATTCTATCTATAAAAAAAAAGATTGAAACGATTAATTTATGATAAAAAAAATTGAACTCTTTCATAGTAAAAAATATACACAAATCATATGCGACGCTATGAATCTCGAGCGATTATTAATGTTATTATTATGAAAAAAATAATTATTTCATATAAAAAATATCAAAATTTATTTTTATAAGAATTAATTTAAACCAATAATTCTATTAAAAATTATTATTATGAAAAAAATAATTATTTCATATAAAAAATATCAAAATTTATTTTTATAAGAATTAATTTAAACCAATAATTCTATTAAAAAGAAAAAATGTCAAAATTTAGAGTGTCTAAATAAAGTAGACAAAAAAAAAGGTACCACTCTGTTAATAATTAGAGAAAGTCTAATATTAGCTGTTGTATTTTTAGGGTTTGGTGGATAACATAACGGTTTAAATTGATAAAATAGCTTTCGATTTAATTGTTTAATTAAAAGTCAAAAAAAATATTTAATTATTTAATTTGTTAAATTCAGAAGAAAAAAATAGCTATAAAAAAAAATTCATTAAAAGCAAAACGATAAATGTTAAAAAATTAAACATTATAATATTTAATATTTCATAAAAAAATTCACATAATTTATAAAAGTTATTATAAAAATTATATTAGTGAATACTAGTTACATAGTTTCGACGAAACAGGCTTTTAATGTTTTAGAAACGTCTTCCGTACGTAATGCTACTCCTAAACGGAGGTCTGGTGAGCGTTGGCTTATTATCACGCCTCTTAATAAAAGACAACCCCACCTCCAATTGAGGTTTGTTGGAATTATTCGGTTTTACCCTTTCGCTTTTGTTAAAAATTATTGATTAAAAATCACTAATAATGGTTGCGCGAATAATTATTCACGGTTCTTACCCTGTTCGCTGTTTGGATTAAATACACAATAATTGGATTAAAAACATCCACTAATAATTATGTATTAAAGGGGTGATTAAATAGGCTCACATACCTAGTCTCATATACGTATATACTATAGTATAATATATATATATATAGTATATATATATTAAAAGTAGTATTTAACAATAATTTTCAGACTAAAATTTAAATTTGTATCACTAATGTGAAATATTTGTAATATATATATTAAAAATGGTCAAGGTCTCTCAACCACAGTTGTTTTCACTAATTTGTAAGTCAATGGAAGGCTTCATTTTGTAAGTCAATGGAAGGCTTCATCCCTATTGTGTAGTCCGCAGTATTATTTTGACTCATAAAAACAATGACTTGACTTATATTGAATTTTGCATCCTATAAAATGTCGAGTATCCTTTTTCATTACTATTAGGTGTCCAATTTACATGCTTTTAAGTTAGTTTTATAGTTTGTTTATTTAAATTTACTACATCTTTATTCTTAATCTTCTTAATTTTAGTTCTTTTCACATATTTAAGGCTTCTCTTTGAAGATTTTATGTATGATGGAGGATTTATATGAAAAAGGAAGCAAACTAAAAGAAATTTATGCTCAACATGACTTTTCTCCAAGAATGATCCTTACTTTGCAAGACAAGAAGAAGATTTTGAAGGCTAGAAGATCAAACCTTCATTTAAGTCATACTATAATTTTATTTTTTTTAATTCATTGGAAGCTTTATACGCTGAAATAACATTACAGACTATACAATAAAGGGTAACCCTCTCCTTGATTCACCAAATTAGTGAAAATATAATTTTATTTTCTATCTCATGATCTTGATTTTAATATTTTGTATTAATTGTTTTGTTATTTCTATTATGCTAGGCTAATTTAATGGTTTTTTAAGAGACTTGAAATTCCAAATATGATAAGTATTATGGAACAGAGGTGAAACATCTTAAAGGATTCTTATTAAATTGAATTAGTTAGGAAAATAGGAATTAGATAAATATTAGAATATACTTTTGTATCTCAAGCGAGAATTTGAGTTACCCTAACAACTTTTCGCCTTCAAACTAGGAATTTTTGAAACTAAATAAGTTATTAACCATAAATAGATTAGAGCGGTGAAACCTAAATTAAAAAAAAAAAAAAAAAGAAGTCTTTTATCCCTTATTTATTTTAAGAGTAATTGTGGTTGATTTAATTAGTTTATTTTAGTTTACTTTTATTTAAATTAATCATTAGTCTAGATAATTAAAATCACAATAAGGAAGAAATATTGAGCCTGTCAAGAACAAAAACGGGGAGGTAGGTGGGGAACATTAAATGGAGGTTAACCTTGACATTTCTCATAATTTCCACATTAGCTTGGGCTTATCTGGCAAAAAAAAAAAAAAAAAAAGTGAATTTTCCACATTTAGCTTGGGCTTATTGCGTCAGGAAAAAAAATAAAAAATAAGAGTCAGCTCTTTTCAAAAAAAAAAAAAAAAAAAGTGCAGCTCTTTTTCACCAAGACAGCTGCCACATATTAAAATGTGGATCCCACGTGTGTACAATCAAATTTTTGATTAGCCATATATAGAGACACCTAATTGCAAAATTTAAATAATTTAAAGACTCAATCGATACTGTTTTCAGTTGAGACACCAAAATAGAAAAAAAAAAATGAAAGTTTGAACTCTAAACATATAATCATCCCTATATTTTCTTTTGACTTTTTTTTTCTGATTTGGTATTAAAAGATAGCAGACGAGGTTAGATGATGATGTGGTGGGTAATCATGGGTATTTTAATGTTTTCATGTGAAATTAACAGAATAAATGTTACTTTTGAACAAAAGGATCAAAAGTTAGATGAACCTCGAGAACTACTAATTAAACAGTAGGAATGAGTTGATTAATGTGGTCAAACTTCAGTGAGTGAATTATTATTTTTCCCTTGTATGTACTATAAATACTCTAAAATTAATATAAGACTGCAGATATTCTAGAATATTTACTTTTCTTGAAATATACTCTTCAAACTCCTATAAATAGGAAGTAACACTATTTTAATGATATGGAATCCAAATCACAAATTTGAATTAACTAACATTTATTTATCTCTCGTTTCTCCCAATTCTTCTATTTTCTCTCAGTCTTCTCACTTAGATCTTTTCCTTCCCTTGTAACACCCGCCGCCCGATCCCGAAAAACCCGACGGTGGATGCCACATTCGGTGCCGGAGGCACCGTCCTAACCTACATATAAACCATAACCGTCCTGGAACCTACATATAAACCATACAATCATTTATGGAATTAGAAGTGATAAACCATACAATCATATTATGAATTAGAAGTGACGTAGTATTCATAAGTTTAGCAAGGAAGAATATTTTGTTTTGAAAATGATTTGGGAGGGTCCTACAGAAAAACTGCAAGAATTTCTCCTAAAAATAGAAGTTGCCAAACATATGAATACAAAGCACTCCCAAATGATTTAAGCATGTTATTGTAAATTATTTTGGTGTATATGTATTGGGAGATAAACTTGGACTATTTAATGGTTAGAACATTAGAAGTTGATATGTTTAAATGAATGTATTGAATTGATGAATATTATAATGTTATTGAGGATGTGAAATGATAGAAGTGCTATTGTGTTGTTATTGGAGTTTGATGGGGTTTGGAGTTTGGATTTGGGAGTGCTTTGTATTCATATGTTTGGCAACTTCTATTTGTATTCAATATGTTTGGCAACTTCCTATTTTTAGGGAAACTCTTGCAGTTTTTCTAATAGACCATAAATCAATTTTCAAAACAAAATATTCTTCCTATACTAATACTTATGCGACATACTTAAGTCACTTCCTAATTCATATATGATTGTATGGTTTTTATTATGTAGGTTAGGACGGTGCCTCCGGCACTGAATGTGACATCTCACGTCGGGTCTTTCGGGATCAGTGTGCGGCTGGGGTGTTACATTTAGTGGTTATCAAGAGCCATAGGTTTAGGCGTTCCTCGGACTATATGCATAATATAGGAATTTAATCTACTTTGGAAGTGAGAGTATGAGGTAATACATTGCCATATTGATATAAATAGAAGTTTGGAACTTCTTCTGATGGCGAACCTTTTGGTACTTTGTAGGAGTTTGCAGTGATGTCTTAAACACATCTGTCTCGATGGGAGGTGGATAGTTATTCCCTTACTAGTGGTGGTATTCCTGTTGGTGATGCGTAGTGGTAGACTAGTAGGAGATTTAATGCGGAGCACGCCTCGAGGGTGGGGCAAGCTTGATGCAGAGGTCCTGCTGGGCCTAACCAGGATACATTTGTTCAACAACAGTTAGTTGCTTCTTTATTGAGGCAGGCCAGCAGGAGCTTGTTCCCAGGTCCAGTTGCTCCAGCCCCCTGTATCCAGTTCGTCTCCCCTATTGAGAACTGAGAAAAATATGGAGCTGTTGAGTTTTTATG